CCCGGCGCCGCCGGCGCGGACGCGCCCGGAGCGGCGGCCGGGCAGGGCCGGGGCGGAGCGCTGCGAGGCGCGGGGCGGCGGCCGCAGCCACGGGTGGGTGCAAGGGGGCCGGGGCTCCCTCCCGAAGCACAGCGGCCCGCTGCGCCTGGTGCCCTAAAAGCTCTGTCCCAGCCTCTGACTAGGGCAGCTTTCCATCTCCTGGCTGACTTTTAAACTGGAGCAAATAATGCAGAAGCCATTTGTTTTTATTAAACACTGATTACCTTCAGAAAGTCTGAAGCTTTTGGAATAATTAGAGACTTCTAGGAAACTCTTGTTTCCGTGACTTCCCTAAGTGCTTTATTTAACAAACATGCGGTGCAGGAGTCTGCAAAATAGGGATGCTTAGGTCCTGGTGATGCTTCTTCCTTCACGTGTAGCTATGGCTTTTAGTCCTTAGCAAATCTTGAGCTTGTCTTACATTGCCTTAAGCTTGGTTAAGACATTGGGAGTATTTCACAGGTTGTGTGGAATGATGTTCTCCAGGCATTTCTTATCCAGGCATGGTCTGAAGGTAACAAGTGTCTATACGCTCGGTACCTGCCTCTGAGAGGCATCTCTGCAAGGAGTCGAGCCCCCTCACTGGGGGTTATCCAGTTCTCATCTTCCAGTTGAATTGTCTAATACTTAGGAATACTTGTCATACTTAGGCAATCTCTGCTATTACTGAGGACTTATTTTCTTCCAAATATTGTATATTTTTAACTTATGTTTCTCTGTAACAAAGGTAAATGAGGCCCCTACAAGAAATTAAACAGAAGGGTGTTCTTGGTTTTCCATATGACCTGTTGTAAACAAAGAGGGTTTGAGATGCTGGGTGCAGGTAGGTCTGGACATGCACAGAAGCAGAGCTCTTGACACTTCCAAGAACCGTGAATGAAGACCCCTAAAAGATTTAAGTGTCTTCAGCATAAGGGAGAAGCAGTTGATGCAAGGCATGCTGAATGATGCCATGTAAATAATGCTTTAGGTAGCTAATGTGTAGGTCAAGGTCTTAGACCCTAAATGTATAGGTTCTTTAGGTTAGCCAAGGATTCATCATCCTTTGCTTCTCTTTAACATTTTTATTGATATATAAAAAAGCAATACATGTGTGGAGGAGGCGAGTCTCTACTGAAAGCACTCCAGAAAAAGACATTGAGAAGATTTGCAGCTGAAATAACCATTTCATAGAGATTTTTTGTTTGCTTTTTTTTTTCCTTTCTAGGCTAACTAACCATTCAATTCTCATAACTGCTATCATTCTAATTATTTTCAATCATAGTGTCCCCTAGGGCATGACAAAGGGTTTTCCAGAAGTTATGGGGAAAAATTAACATATTGATCTGCAAGATGGCATTCACAGAAGAAGCGATTATTGTCTAATCCTTATTTTTTGTTTGTTTCTTTAGACTATACATTTTAATAATGAAAACATACTTAATCTACACCATATATCTTTACCCACAGCTTACAGGTCTGAGAGGTACAGTGGACCTGATCACCTAGATAAGGCAGTTCTTTCCCATCTCAAGAACAGTATTAACTGGATCCTTGCTGCAGTCTCAAGCTGTGGAAATGCTTTGCATAATTAATTTTAGAAATGTTACATTCTCATAATTTCCTTAAATTTAGAATCATGTAAGTTGAAACTAGTGCTAACAGATGAGAAAAGTTTCTTGCTGCAGAGGTGCTAGATTTAAGAGTATTTTTCTGTACAAATGCTTGTTATAACAAATAAGGTAAAATCCAAGCCATAAGGTTGTTGGATTTCTGGATTCTACAATATACACTCCTTAATTCCTGAACATTTTTATAGCAGGAATGCCATTTCCCCCCTTCATATAGCTTTTTTACTATTATTAAAGTGACATATTTTATGCCACTTATTGTTTTAAAAGAAAATTAAGAAGAAGGACAATGTTAATGTCTAAACAATGTTCTGTTGAATGTTTTCCATTATCATATTTTCTTGGTTTACTGTGACTTTTCAAACTTTCTTCTTTTTACCCCATTACATATTTTTAGGCTGGATGAAGCAGCAGTGAAGGGGAAGGAGCCAGCAGCATATGCTGAGGGACAAGGATCATGCTGCAGTTTGGTGGTAACACAGCTCTGCCAGCTCATTTCCCTGGCTGGTCCTGCATGTGGTGCCATGTGATCTCAGAGCTGCCTAATTCCCTCATGATCATCACGTGTCTTTCTGCTCCCTTTGATTCACCAAAGCAATGAACTTTTCTGTGACTTTGTCTCTCAGTATTTGGGAGTACTTCTTCAGGTGCCACACTGAGGGAGAAAAACTTTGCCTCCAAACAATCATTAAGGGTATTGAAATACCCTACTTGAAGTATCTCCCAAGACAACTTTCTCAAACAGATAACCAGAATTAATTACCTAGACAATTATAACACTGACACTAGAAGGAAAGCTGCTATTTCCAGTGTTCTACACCTTCAGGAATTCCTTGTAGGTTCAGACATCATAAGCTGCTGAATGCCTTTTGAGTGCCCTGGAATATCCTGTTGGGCCTTCAATCTGCTGTTCTAGAATAACACAGATCTTCTGCACATCCCAAGCCATATCAACCAACCCCCCCCATGAATGTCTGGGATTCCTTACAATATCCAGAATTGTGGATTCAGCAATTCAGTAAATTCAGCAATTCAGCTTTAAATGTCTATTAATAGCTCATGTTGCTCTAATCAGACTGTGGAACTTGATCAAACTCACCCCATAGAAGACATTCAGTGGCTGCTGCACCACTCCTTCACTGTTAATTAACTGCATTTACCAGGGATGAGATTCAGCTGCCTGAGCTTCTAGTGCCACCACAGATGACCCTGCACATCCTGCCCACCTCCAGATTATACTGCAGAAGGGTTTGGATTTTACGTAGGTCTTGTGTCAGCCCCGTCCAGGTGCCCTGGATACCACACAGCATCTCAAATGTCACTAGGCAAACTACATATAAGCAAGTAAAGCCTTAGCTCTCTGAAATGGGAGCTTAAACATCTAGTTTAAACTTATAGGTATCTATATTTAGGTGTGCTCATCTCCCAAGAATCTCAGCTCTAACACCTTGTCATACAACCCCAAATGGAGATCTTTTTAGTAATGATACTGGTATCATCATTGCTGTGATACACCATTCATAAGACTTATTTGAAACTACTTCAGTTTGCTTCAGTGCCAGAGTTATGCAGTGTTAAAAATTTAGTTGTGATTTTCATTGTTTCTTCAACGTGGGTATGGAGTGGATATACATTATTTCAGTCCTTGTTTTTGGTACTGTAAATTGGAACAAGAATCGTTGGAATTCTGGATACTGGTTTTCTTTTTTCAACAGCAATGCTACAAAGCAATAAGAATGTATCTTTCTATGGTCGCTAGCAAGGTTCTGATGAGCAAATCCGGGACTCACTGTTTTCCACGACTAACGCACACGGCTTTCCACAGGGTGAGAAAATTAACCTGCTCCACCAAGACTGCAGGAATAACTCCTGCCTTCCTGAGTTCACATGGAAAGTGACGCCACAGCCTGCCTGATGGACACTCCTGGGGACAGACAGGGCTCTCAGTGTCCGGACACAGGCCGGGCCCTGCGGAAAGGGCACACGGCTGCCCCGACCCCTGCCCTCTGCCCCATCCCGGCTCCTGCCCTCTGCCCCATCCCGGCTCCTGCCCTCGGCCCCATCCCGACCCCTGCCCTCTGCCCCATCCTGGCTCCTGCCCCCTGCCCCATCCCGGCTCCTGCCCCCTGCCCCATCCCGGCTCCTGCCCTCGGTCCCATCCCGGCTCCTGCCAGCGCC